GACATCTGATATACATCTCTCCAGGAATGGCACCTGCAGGAGTCTCTGTATCAGGGTTCTCCGTGAGATGATGATGATGATCCACACCCTCAGTCACAGCTCTATAATCAGATTATAACCCATCTTTTAATAGGCCTCAGTGAAGTTTAAGCTCTTAAATATCAATTGCAATTTAGTAAAAGCAATTTTGTTCAGAAGACTGAAAACAATTTAGTGCTGATACTTATCTCTCTCATCTCTTTTACTCATAATAATAAAAAAGCAGGTATTTTTATCATAACTGGTATGCGAAGAGTTCTGGGTTATAATCTACAGCGTGGACTTTGAGTATAGCTATGTTCTGATAACCATCTGAATAGAAAGCAGAGTTAATAAAATACCCTCATTAGGAAATGTGTTGTTGATTTTGGTCTTTGTCTATTGCTTCCAGACCCGAACCTATAACAGGCTGAGTGGAGCAGGAATGAGCTTTCAGGTTGCTCATGCTGTGAAGAGTCAAATTGCAGAAGGGGAAGGGGACATATGTCAGAGGGCTCACAGGGCTGCTGTTATGACCATCCTGAGGCCATAAATGGGCTCTTTCTTCCTCCACCCCAGCCACCCTGAGCCAGGCAGGGCTGAGACTGGCAGAGAACTACTACTATACCACCTCTACTTTCTATCATAAAGTAGCATTAGTAGAGAGATTAAAGAAATACCCTCAACTCTAAATTTCTTTTAAATCCATTCTTCCCAAGAAAATATGCAGTAGAAATACATCTTATGCTTCTCTCTCTCTCTGTTTCTTTCCTTTTTTTCTTTTTTTGACAGGGGTACAGGGTCTCCCTCTGTCATCTGGGCTAGAGTGCAGTGACACCATCATAGCTCATTGCAACTTCCAACTCCTGGACTCAAGCGATACTCTTGTCTCCCATGGAGCTGCAATGATGGGCATGCACTCGCCACCATGTTCAGGTCACTTTTTGTAGACAGGGTCTTGCTGTGTTGTTCAGGCTGGCCTCAAACTCGTGTCCTGACACAATCTTCCTGCCCTGGACTCTCAAAGCACTTGGATTACAGGGACAAGCCACCACACTTGCCAGAAGATTTGCCTCCTGTGTTAGCTAGGAACTTTTTTTTTTTTTAGAAATGGAGATCTCTGAGACCTGAGAAAAGCTGTGAGCCCCATTCCCTCTCCTCACTGCCACCCTACTCAGCACCCCAAACCTTACTTTGTATAATTTCGGAGGGTGAATATAGTTCCTGATAGCCAGATTAAGAGCTCTGGCTTTCAAGACTTTGTTATTTACAAGAATGTCCACACTCTGTAAATGGCCATTCCTCCAGATAGGCCTGCTTCTGTCTGTTATTCTAGGCTCATCTCCTGCCATTTCCCTCCCTAAAAACTCCAGATACTTAAATATATCTTAAAACACGTCATGCTCATTCATGCCTCAGAATATTTGGTGATGCCTTTCTCTCTGCCCTTCTTTCTCATCTTTCTGATAAACATTCACAGAGTCTTTCAGAGCCAGCTCTGAAAATGATATCCTCCTTAGCTGTCTCTCCCCACCCCCCAGAATTGTTCACTCACTCATTACCCTCAGCATATTGCACTGGCTTCTACGTAGCATTAATCACTCTCTATTCTAATTATTTGTTAACACATGACAAGTGACACTAAGAGCATGAATAATTTCTCAGTCATCTCTGCATCCCTAGAATTCCTAAAACATTTTTTTTTTTTTGCTTGAGAAGATTTTCAGGGTCTTAGAAACTACCCACCGCCTCATCATCTTCTCCTGTTGATGAAAACAGTGGCTCTGAGGGGCATTTGTAGAGTCACATGCTTTTAGAGATTCTCACTAAGAAGATGTGTGGTATTTTGAAGCATAGTCCTGGATAGAAAATAGGTTTAGCCAAACGTCTTGATGAATTAGAGAGAAATATATACAAGGAATCTGATTGAATGAAGGTGCATTCCCCAGGATTAACTTCTAAACACCGGCACCACTGGCTTGGAAGTGTCATAGGAATATGTAACCGACACAGTAAGCTTTTGTATAATGAGTTGTTTTTTCCCTATTTTTAAAATACACACTCATCAATAAAAGTAGTTAGAAATACTTTGCAGGTGGATCCCGGATTGATAACTTCAGATTCTTCCAGACTTTCATAATGAGCATCTTTGCTGAAAACACTGCCTGTCATCTACCCGAAGGAGAAAGCACTTAATTGCAGCACATTCTACAGTAGGTGTTTGTAACCTCTCCGAGTCCTCAATTATAAAGTGGGCTCGACCGTACAGTGAGGATCTAATGAGCTAAGGGGTGAGGAGAATAATGAAATGTTTACCAGAGCCAGTTGATAGACATGCCTTAGAACTCTTTATGCTAAAGAATAACAATTCTGAAGGCACGGGATGTGCTGGGATTCCAGGGCAAGATGGAAACAGTGGCTGTTGAGAATGATGAAATCTGAAATTGTTGTGGCAGAACAGAGCAGCCTCTAATTCATTCTGCAGAATGACTTCATTGCTTTAAAGTCCTCCTGGAACAGTTAAACGTTTCGAGGAAGTCAACTGGATATATTGAATAGAATATTACGTTGGGTTCAACTCTCAGTTCTACTTCTAATTAATATCTACGACTTCTAGAGATCTAGAAAATCTCTTTCCTATCTTCTCATTTTATACCACCCACAATATCCATTTGATAATGTCATTTTTGACTGCTGAGAAAAAGAAGTAGGTTGTGTCCATGCCACCTTTAATCAGATGGCAAGCACTGTGCATGAGAGTGTACAGTTTTATTTCATTCCTAGAACAACCTCATTGAAACACAGATAGCGCTTTGCTATGACTATTATTTCCGTTACACAGGTGAGTAGACTGAGACATAGAAAGTTTACGTGACTTGTCCAAGGTAAGACAGCTGGTGAGAAAAACCTGGATTTGCATTCAAGGTTATTAAGGACATAACCACCACGTCACTACAGTATCTCTGTGATTTATAGTAAATGACTTAATCTCATGGAAGTTTAGATTCATTGTCAGGGAAATGAAGGTCGTAATTTTTCCTCCTTGTTTTGCTATGAGATTTAACAAAGATAATGGCTAAAAATCCTCACCTAGCCTCACGATCAGCACAGCTTGTTAAAAATAAAGATCAGTTTCACCGTGAGCGTGTGTTTGTGTGTGTATGGAGGCTTCTCCTTGCAGTCTAAGGAATTTTTTTTTTTACTGAATGACATAGAGGAACCAAGTGAAGTAGACTGGCAGGCAGTGGTAAGCATGGGTTCATATGATCTGCTCAAGGCTTTAAAACTGGTAAGGGTGTATAAATTAGTCAGGCTGAGGTAGGTGGGGAGTTGCACAGCCCAGGATGACAATGCAATGAGGTAGTTTGAGGTAGTTTGCACTCTCTGGGTTTTTTTTTGTTTTTTTTTTTTTTTGCTTTTAAGGAACCTATAAAGAAAGCAGAAAAATCTCAAACCTATTATCTGAATTTATACCATGGGAACCAGAGAAGTAGGAGAAGGAGCTAGACCGGAACAAAGGTTTTATTTGTTTTCCTCTTGCTTCAAGAACAGCCATCCAAGACTATATATATATATATATATGTATTTTAGCTTCCTCTCTTCTCTTGGATCCATTCTTTGGAAAGACAACATAGAGAATAAATTGCACTTGTATTATTTAAAACCAGGTGTTTCCGAGATTTTCCCTGAGTGGTGAGTTACATACACACACGTACACACACTAGGTGGTTACAGATTAATGAGGATACACGTCCAGCGTGCTGCACTGTCTCAGATGTAGTAAGAATTTAATTAGCCTTCAGCACTACCCAGTTGGAAGCATACAGGCTTAAGAATCAGATGACGCTAGTTATGAAATTCCAGTTCTGTCACACGTGATCTTTGGTCCAATCTTTAATTTCATCTAGCTTGGATTTTGCTCGCCTATGAAATAGGAATAATAATACCTTGGAGAGTTCACCCACGCAGTAAATAACAGAGAATGTACTAGAACAGTGTCTGGACCAGTGTATGTTAACTGCTTTCCCCCTCAATAGATATTTCTGATATATTCCCCAACAATTTTGCTATATCAGACATCACTACTACTCTACCACTCCAACCATCAACCATTTTTTTTGTAACCTTTTTCTTTTTTTTTTTGGATGGAGCATTTGTCCTGTGCCTTTAGCGAAAGAAAATATCTTTCCTGTCTTCTCATTTTATCCCTATCCATAATGTCCATTTGATAACCTCATTTTTGAATGATACGAAAAAGAAATAGCTTGTGTCCACGCTGGAGTATTGAGCCTTGCAAGTGTGCATCTCCCTGCAGCACAGAACTTGCTCAACAGGACAAAATGACCCCTGCATGTGCGGTTTTTGGACTCCAGATTTCCTGAATCTAACTGGACTCTTCCATGCTACAATGCTCACTTAATTTTTAGGAGTGCCCTGTTTATAATTTTTCTGCTTTTTCTAGCATTTCATTCTTGCTTTCTTCATCTTCTTCTCCTCTTCCTCCTCCTCTTTCTCCTTCAAAAAGGAGAGCACATATGATCCATACTCAGGGGTAGAAATGAATGCTGAAATGTCTTACCATTAGGTTCTCTGTCCCAGAGAGTTAATCAGGGGCATGAAGACACTCGAATGCATAGCAGTCCATAGTTGGTCTCTCAGGACCAACTGATGCTGAATCAGTCTCTTGCCTGTTTAAAGCTGTAGTTATGACTGTGGTCCAGGGAGTCTGGTGTTGGGTGACTTGCAATTGTCTCACTGCTGCTTATCTCAAAGGTCAGTGCTTGTTTACCATTCTTTCCTCAGACCTGAGTAGGGTTGAAGAGGGCTAAGTTTCCCTCTCAAAAATCGTTCTTGGGCTCCAGACAAGGTGCTAGACCTTTGTGCCAACAAGCAGGTTTCTGGTAACAGTTCCTGGGACAAATCAAAGCTGTGGGTGAATGCTTCCTTTAACATGCTCTCTCCCCTCACTCCTGCTCTCTCCAGTTTCCCAGGCGTTCCTGTATTTTCCTTGTTAATCATAATGAGCTAGTTTGATTCATCACAGAAATCTTGCTTTCTTCTTTGCTTCAAAATATATTGCTATCTCTTTGGCGGGTTTGTCTGCTTTCTGACAAAGTGTTTTTCTATTTGGGCTTCATGTCCTTGCAGATCAGTAAATCATCTCCCAAGAGAGTAGGAATCAGCATCAGCAGCTTTGGGACTTTGTGATGTAGTAGATGAACAGCTACATACCCACAGGAGAGAAAAACACAATTAAATTTAAGTGGGGGTAGGGAAAGAGGGTAGAGGGAGAGAGGAGGATGGCAGGGGAATGGTAAGTTCTCACATAATGGGCATAATGTAGGGGCATTTGGCACACCTCCTGGGTGAAGGGCTCTACTGCAACTTGGACTTTACCTAACAAGCACAGACAATGTAACTGAATTGCTTGTACTCTCATATTGATCTGGAGAGAGAGACAGAGAGAGAAGAATCAAGGTGCCATGTCTGGGAGCTGGGGTTAAGCATGAAGTTGGAGTTATCAGAGCGGCGGCTATGCTGTGGAAGTTGAATGAAGTGTTAGGTAGGACCTTTCAAGTTAGCGTCAGGGGGAGATAGGCACAGAGAGAATCAGGACATGAAGCTGAGTATTGCAGAGTCTACAGGGATCTATTAGAAGAGAGAGTAAAGGTTTGCAGCAAAGATTGGGAGGTGCAACCTAGAGCAATTCTTTTCTGAAGGAAGCAGTGGCTGTTTATAGGGTTTCTGTGTCCTTCAAATAATTAAGGATAAAGCAGTTAAAGAAACATTGGGGGATTTTCTGCTCAATATTCCATTTCCCAGAATTGCTTTCCTACCCAAACATGTTTGCAGGAGCAGCAGCTATGTTTTAATGTTTTCTGGTCCTTAGTCACTGTAAATTCACCTACACGGAGGAATCTAACCCAAGCTGGGCCAATGAACTCCTTCTTCAGGATATTTGACTTGGAATCTGAGATGCAAGACATAATGCCCGGGGTCTAGCCGGGATATGTTTTTGTTGTCGTTGTTGTTTTCTACACACAAAAGGGCAGAAGAAGCTAGTCTTTAGAGAAAGAGATGAATGAATACACATACAAGAGGAATAAATACGAGAGATGAGGAAAGGGAGAACTATGGTAAGATTAAAATTTCACGAAATCGCTCATATCCTTGTCATGACTTATTATATTTAAAATAGTGCATGAGAAATTTTAGTCTTTGACATTAAGAAAAAATACATGTAACTCCAAATACACCAAATAAAGTGTCACTGTCAAGCCTTTGCTGAAGTCATTCTCCTGAGACGGCTTCTCTTTCTCTTCTGCTTTACCTCCCACATCCCTCCATCCAAGTCTCCCCTTCTCCGAGAAGCCCTCCCGGACCACACCTGCTACCAGTCTTCTGGGATGCCTCTTATATGGGCAGTTGGATAGAAGGAACATATTAATAAACAGGCTTTTTGTATCTTGGGTTTTCTACATTTTGAATTAGATTACTCTTTTAACTACGCTTAACAATTTTTACACATTTCACTTGGAGTCAGATTAGTTATATATGAAAGTCACAGAATTCTTTATCACAAAAATACTCTAATTAAATGTCCAATCACAGAGATTTCCATTATCAAGGTGTAGGAAAATAGAACATTTTATTAAGAATATTTCCACTGACCACATCAACTATTACCTGACAACACGCTCATGGACCAATGTAAGTCTAGATTGATAGTTTGAAAGATAAAAAACTATAAAAAATGCCCTTGGTCTCATTGTTTACATAAATCTCAGAGAAATGTATCTGGATTTTGGATTCTACCTGTACTGCTATACAGAAGGCCAGTATTTCTGTCTCGGGCTTGATTTTAAATGGCAAACACACTAGCCCAAGAAACAGAACACACACGTTCACACAAACACTTGTGCACGCACACACATATTCATGGATGCACACACATACACATACACACTTGCACATTCAGCTCTGGCTGTGTGTGGCAGCATTATGACTGCAGCTGCTGGGTGCAGGGGTGAGTACTGACAGCAGGAGAGGCAACACAGGCATGGTCAGCACATTCACTCAAATGTCAGGCAGCGGCATCATTAACATAGTGCAGTGTCCAATAACTCAGAGCTCCCTGTGGATGGGGACTGAGCAGGAATAATTACTTGAACATCACATGTACTTCATCACTTCCAAATTAGATTTTACTAATCCACCGCTTTATTTTCTGAGTAATCTCATTAGTAACACGGTGTTTCTTTCTTTTTTCTTCCCCAATGCCTTAGAAGATTTATTGCTTCCAGCCCATAATAAGATTTACTGACTGCCAAAAGGCATATTTTTTAATTGTAAGATTTAGACAGATGTGAGAGGGGCTGTGCAAATCCTTCCCCTCCTGTTCTCTCAGCCCCTAGACCTCAAGAGAGATTTTAGAACCATACCTTGATTTTTCTTTTTTACAATACAAATTAACACTGCTGATTATTTTGAAAGAAGAATGGTCAACTCATCATCATAGGCAGTCTTTCTTTGTAAAAATGTAGCCAGGAAAAAGTTGCCTATTCTCAGGAGACATTTTGTTTCGTATATTATATTTTTTTCCTTCAGTTATAATGAGATAAAATTCTTGTCCTTGACGACCATTGACAAAGACATTACATACTATTATAGAAAACAAACAAGACAAATTATGATGAAAAACTACCAAAAGTGAATCACCACACCATAAACATTAAATTTATGGAGTGTAAGTTCTGACTACACACATACTAACACATACCTTATACAATTTCACACAGTATATAATTTCCATATTACAGAGATATAAATGTGTGATTCGTGATTGACAGAATGAGTAAATACTAGCAGATATAAAGTTATAATAATTAGTTGCAATCTCTTTGCGGGAAGTTTTTCCCTAAAGAAGGATCTAAATGATCAGAAAATTCTCAAAATATAACTCAAGGACAGGCATTGACATAGTAAAATGATCAAGATCAACATATTTCCTGCCCCTAGGGTAAATGAAACATCATGGATGAACCAGACAATTAGATACATGGGAATCATTCATCATGATGAGAAGAATACAGAGAGCAACCGAAAAACACTCCAGAGGTGCACAGCAGGTCTTATGCTAGAGGAAGATTTAATATTTGACGTCTTCTTAATTCTTCTTTCAGGCATCCAACCAGTCATTTATGCTATGTCTTTTCTGTATACTCCCAGAAATGTTTCAACCAATTAGCTCTATATGCCTTGTACTCAAAGTGTTAGCTAGGACCTATCCTGCAACGGGAAAGAATATAAAGCTTTGGTAGACCTAGCTTTCGGTACTGGGTCTGTCAGTAATTGACGATCTGATTTCCAAATCCTAGGCTTCAGTTTCCAAGTCTGTATAGTGAAAAATTGAACTAAAGTATCCTTATGAATGTTTAGAAATCTAATAGTTCATAATCTCAATTACCTTTCAAGATTGTCTCCCCTGAGTTCACAGTTATATTTGAACAGTTATATTTGAAGACCATCAAGATTTAAGTAAAGAAAAAAGAGAAGAGAATTAACAACTGAGTACCTGTTATGTGGCAATGATCCTGCGCGCGCTCTCTCTCTCTCTCTCTCTGTCTCTCTCTCTCACACACACACACTAGAAGTAGGGACTAATCCCAGAGGACTCTGCAAGCTTTGCTCTCCATATTCTGCAAGGTCTACTACACAGATGGCCAAACATGGTGCCTAAAGGTCGGCTCACTAGTGATGGCATTCCAAATACCTAGAGACAGAAGGAAGAGCAACCACTGAAGACATCAACGACTTTCTCTGGACAATTTTGTAACGATTGACTCTGTATGCATGAAATCACCACATTCGAAAAGGTAAGTACAACAAGACATAACAAATACATAAACAATAACAAAAAAGTGAGGAAAGCTTTTGGTTGAAGGTGCCCGCTTTCTGCAAGCTCATTCTTCTATCCCTAAAGTGTGGTTACTCTATGTATCTCTAAGGGTAATATTGCCTTTCACCTAGTAAACATCTCACACTGACCTCATGGTACCCAACCAGAGCACTGACTGAGATCTGGTGGGGGAGAAAGACCATGCAAACTGCAGTGAGGTTGGCTTGATATCCTGATAACTCTGCAGCACCAACAGAAGTGTTGACTGCATTTTTTCATTTCTGTCTGGTTGCCATGGCAATACAGCTCAGCTCTTTTCTAAATTTTCACCCTCAGTAAAATGTGCTACATTAAATGGGGTTGTTTTACCCAAGCTTGTGGGAGTTGGTGGCAACTGTGTGAGTTGTCAGCACCTGAGCAGCAGTGGCAAAACTGCAACTGGGGAACAGGCAGAAAAGTCAGAAATTTGTGAGAAGTGGGAGGGATGTCAAATCCTAGGTACCCAGACATGGCATTTAACTAAGGTGTCAGCCCTGGTAAAGACTGCACACAGACAGTACCCGGAAACCAGACTCTGTGTGCAGGAAATCCAAAGACATTTGAGACTTCAGTGTTCTGTTGGCTTGAGCAATCCTTTGAATGAGTTTAGCCATATAAATGCTCTCTCACTTCTCTCAAAACTTATTTTAATAATTTTTTATTCTGTAATGATTTTAGAACTATAGGTAAAGATAGTACAGCAACACAAATATATTACTGTACCCTTCTGGAGGTAAGACGTGTAAGATGAAGTACACGAGGCAGAATTCAGGTGCTGAAAAAGGCTGTGCTCTTTCTGGAGTCTTGAGCAGAGAACCCACACCTTTGTCTTTTCCAGCTTTCAGAGGCCATCTGCATTCTTTGGTGTGTGGCTACCTTCTGTCTTCAAAGACAGCAATAGCCAGTTAAGTTTTTCATTTGCTACATCACTCTGACACTGATTCATTTACCTTCCTCTCTGTCATTCGAGGACCCTTGTAATTAGTTGTTGTCTACCTGCATAATTCAGGGTGATCCTCTCTATCATAAGGTGAGCTAATTCACACACTTAATCCTGTTCAGTACCTTAATTCTCCTTTGCCGTGTAGTCTAGTATATTCACAAGTTAC